AGCTGCACATTGGCATTCGCGGAAGGTCCTTAGGTCCTTTCGTGTCTATATTTCTAGTATTTCATGTAGAAGCTATTTCTATGTCTCTGCCAAGACTGGCAACGGATGACCTTTCTGAAGCAGTTTTCCCTTGTCACCTTCGACCAAAAGCGCCAAGATGTGCCAAGTGAATGGAGGCATCGAGAAGCTGCCTGCAGGTGGAGGCGCGGAGGGGATTTTGCCGTTTTATGCCTCACGAAGACCGGAAGCTCAAGCTGGACAAGCATCAACATGTACTACTCAAATAGTTGAGTGCTGGTAAGCTTTTGGCAATGGACAGTGGATCTGCCTCCTTGTGCTCACCCATGAACGCCTTTATTTGTTCGATAATTTGTAATTTGTGCAAATGTATATCCATGTTTCTGATTTAGACAAACATGGGTTCTTTTCTTGTGCACTGCTTTCTCATGTTCACTCTTCATATGGGCAAACCTCACTCACTCCGCCAACATGTTGAAGGGCGGTTTGAGGTGCCGGATCTGTGTGCAAGTTGGCCTTGGCACTGAGTCATCAAGGTTTTTGGCATGGAGTACGTACTTTCTTTACACCCAGTTCGGAATTTATGCCAACGGGAGTTGGAACTCTTAACGATGGAGAGTGCACTGACTTTGGTCGATACAGAACCTGACTCCCTCAGTTCATGCCCGTCAATTGAGTCGGCTGCTCTTTCGCAGTGATCTTCCACCAATCTGAAGTTTGAGGTTTGACTTTGATGGGTGGATGCACATTTTATCTGCGTGATTCTCTCGCCCTGCAACCACAAGCAATGTCAAGGCTTGTCCAGGCCCAATGAGATCAGGAAGGTCTGCACGTTGTTCATACTCATCTCCACGGTTGCGCCCCAAACATTGTGCAGCATCCGACAACTGGCGTGTGATTAGCTGAATTGTTAACACCACATCCCCACACCGCCATGCAGCAACGGGCAAGACATGCTCGATTCGAATTGACGGATTACATTTTCCATATTCGCCATTGGCTGAAGTCACGAATGAAAAAAAGCGTAAAGCTTCTGTTTCGCCCAATCCCAGGAAAACAACATGTTCAAGAGGTATATAAATGAAAGTGAGACCTTGGAAACAATATAGTGCAACCGGTCCATGCAAGCCAGATTGACCCTTTTTGCGTGTGAAATGAAGAACGTGGGCCTGCTGGATTTGAACAGGCTGACTAGCTGAGATTAGCGTCTGATTTGGCGAGACACGGCTGGAAACATCAGGAAGTTCAACAAACTTCTTTGCTCTTTGCTCTTTGCATGATGTGCATGGCCTTGGTCAACGAGCTTGATGAACACGAGTCACACAACACTTTGAGCGTCACAACCCACATCGTCATGCCACTGGCCGCTTCAAGAACAGCACCTTTCAAGTAAAGAACCTGAATCTACAAATAGTCGCTGCTCAAAACCATGTTTTTCAAAGCTACTCATGGCAACAACTGCTGTGAAGGGACCACATCTCTTTACATTGCGGACCTGAAAAAGCCGTGGGTCTAAAAACGTTTCCCTGGATGGTTTCCAACTATACGCAAAGATCTTGAACCCCCCAGGCATTCAGTCCCAGATGTCTTGAATGGTTTTCCCAGCCGGTTGACCAGTGAAGTAATCCATACTGTCATACTGTCTCATCACGCGGAACAAAGTGTTGACCAATGTGGGCCCCTGGATCTTGTAGAAAAAGCTCCTAGTAGCGTCCTTGCTCCTAGTAGCGATGCCCTTTGTTCCTAGTAGCGTCCCTTCTCTCTCTTTCTCGTTTCTCTCTTTGTTTCATCCCTTGCGGGTCGGTTTTCATGCACCCCAGCAATCTGATCGTCGACCATGGTTTTACAACTTTTTTCCTTGCACGCACGGCGAAGGGTGCTTTTGTGAAAAAAGTGCTATCTGAAGACCTACTATTTGTACATTGCCTCGTCTGAAGACCTGCTACTTGTACAGTGCTAGTTCTGTATCTGATTGGTACATGCGCGGCATACTCACATCTTTTGCACATGTAGAAATATCGTATGTAGACCTGCGCATGCATGTACTTGCTAATATGCATATGTAGAAGTGAACGTGTTTCGTTTCTCTGCTGAGCATGTCGATTTGAGCTGGCAATCTTCGTGTAGCAGCGTGCATGAATTTGTACATTATGTTCTCAGAAATCTAAGACATCGCTTCTATATTCTTTCGTCTGCACGCTGAAACGTGAAGTTTTTGACGCTTTGCCGCTAACCCTCTACAGTCGTGCCCGCATGATGCTCAAACGTGAGGGTTTTCACGTCTTCAATTTTCAGTTGTGCCAGACCGCTCACGCGAAACACCATGTTGAAGCTTTAACATATCTCAAGATTGGAGGACAACTCGCACGATGTTAAATCATGTCAAATATAAAATTGAGTATTAAGTTGCTAAAAAA